TATGGGTGGGTAGGGTGGGGGTAGGGGAGGTGGGCAAGATTTGAACCCAGCTTTGGCTGGCTACAAAATCCCCAAGCACTTGACCTCTCCCACTGCAGTATATCACATCTCAAACTCAGCAGCATGCTTATCCCTTGTGCTTATTCCTGTTATTTTAGAGCCTCCGTTGCTTATCAAAGCATTGTCATTTACACTATTTCATTGGAGCTTTATAACTCCCCCTTAAATAAGTCAGAACAGATATAATTATAACTCTTTTCTGAATAAGAAAATCAAGATTTTGAGATGCTGAGTGATATGCCCACGATTTCCCGGAGACCTGCTTGTGAGGTCAGGGTTAAAAATGTTGCTGTTATGGCCTCTGTTATCCTTCTTGGTCAGGCCAGGCAGACAAAGATAGAGAATCCAGGACAAGACAACTCAGAGGGTGCAGCACACATGGACCTTGTCACATCTGTGGACACAGACCAAGGCTAGAGAGGGTTGAGGGTCCCAGGGCCCAGCCCAATTACAGCTGTCCTCAGGACTCGAGCTGCAGCCTAGAGGAGGAAACAGGAGTCCTCACTTTCCCACGGACTTTGACAGGCTTTAAACTTTGGAATGGACTTGACAGTGAGGGTGCTAAAGGAGAGAGCTATGTTAACAAGCACTGAGCAGTAAGGAGCCCCCATAAAGATAAGGAAACTTGAAACAATAGGGAGTCCAGGACTGATCTCCCAGGCTTCCCTCCCTGCTTGGGCCCTCCCTGTGACTCCCTTCACTAGCTTAAGCCAAAGGCAATAGAGTTGTTTATCTTGGTTATTTCTTTTCTGTGAGGGAATTTCCCAGCAAGGAACCTTTTTATTTCCTTGTGGAGATAAAGGTATTCTGTTTCTCTAGTTCTTTGGAAGAGGAAGGGGAGCAGGTTAGGGGAGGTGGGGACAGATATGGGTATCAAGTGGCAGCTTGAAGTTCCTTGATTCTGGTTAATTGCCCCAGACCTTTCACAGCAGGCCAATGATTAACTTCTGGAATGGGGCCTTAGCCAAACACCAGTGTTAGCCCCAACCTAGATGTGCTCAGGGGACACTAGCTGGGGGACCACCAGAGTGGGCACCATGGGTCACCTTGGGGGAGGCTTCCAGGCAAGAGCAGGTGTCAGAAGGTTGGGAAGTCTGTCTCCTCCGGAACACGTGGGATGGGACGGCGGCCGAGTCCCAGGGAATCCACCATCCGCCATTTTCGCTGGCCTTGTATGCACTGGCAGGTGGGAGGAAAAACTGCCACATGTGGTTTTAAGAGCCCAAACCAGCAGTGGTTCTCCTTGGTTCTGGTTCCTGTTCATACCTTTAGATAAACAATGTTCCTAATACGTCTGTGACACAGGGGTGGGTCTTCCCATGGGTTGAGCTGGGGGATGCAACCCTCCTCTGGATTGGTGAAAGAGATTTGCCCTGGGTTATAGAGAGTCAGACACCAGGTTTTCCAATGGGAGTCCTGACCTCCTGCTGAGGCTTCTTATATGTGTGAGATGCTTGGATGGTTGTGGCTATCCAAGTCAGGGGAGGATATATGTGTGTACCCATTACTCTTTGCACAGCCTCAGGCCAGAGATGAAAACATCAAGCATGCACAGCTGGAAGAGCAAATCTTGTAGAGGGTGACCCTGGCGAGAAAACATGCAGCCCTGTCCCAGGGTTGATGATGGGAGGGCAAAGGCACCCATGCTATCGGTAGCAGGAAATCTTTGCCCAAAGCTAAGCTAGAAGCACGGTTTTTCTGCTAACAGCTGAAAGAACCCTGGGTTTTGAAAATTATTAAAAATCCCTTCTTCTCAAAACCAGACTTTCTCTCAAACCTAAGAGATTCAGGTCTCATGAAGGTCCCAGTTTCATGGTGGCTGGAGCTGTATTTAAAGGATTTGCTTAAAGAAGGAAAGAAATAACATTTATTGGACACCAATTATTCTTGCCAGCTTCTTATCTGACTTAATCTATTATTACAGCAACCCAAGAGATAGTTATTATTATCTTCATGTTGCCAGATGGGAAATCTGAGGGTTAGAGAGATTTTTGGCCCTAAGACTCATAGAGAATAGGATCAATACCTTATTATGACTCTTTGGATGAGCAGAGAGGCCCGTTCTTTTGAGAGATTCACAGGCTAGTATATCATGCATGAAGGCACATTTCTGGTTCTTAAAACAAGAGTTGTTTTTTCATTGCTGAGGTTGGAATGTTCTGGATCCTTCTCGTTTTACCAAGTTACTGGCCCTGATATATTCATAACATATGTCTACACAGTTGTGGATTGGGACAGGGAGAATGGAGTTTGCCTCCTTATAACATGAATTTAGCTAGCTTCCCTGCAGTTAGAGTGACAGATCTTCAGCTCCCACGGCTTGGAGTCCAAACCTTTGCTCGTCTAATCTTAGGTTTCCTCCTTTTTCAGAGGGAGTGGTATCTCCTGAACCAGGTCTTGGCTTGGCTGCTGATGAACCACATGGTGTTCAGCAACTCCAGGGGCTCCATCTGCTTGGTACACAGCAGGAAGTCAGTTGAGGCCTCACAGCCCCAAGGGCTTCAGAGAGAATAGAGAACATGCACAATGGAGACTCGAAGCCAAGTTGGTGGTTTCTGACAACTTCCTGTGAGTGTGAACTTGGAGGAGCAGGAAGCTGGGAGCTCAGAGGAGTGGGGAGAGGCTGGCCAAGGAAAGCCCCTAGACTGAATGACTCTTTTGCCTACTTCCTCTACTCATCGCCTGAGTCTTTTTGGGACTACACTCTCATCTCCCATGGGTGCAGGGGCTGAACACAGACTAGAACAAGCCCAGAAACTGTAGCACCACTAGAGAGGGAGAATAGTCTGTGTGGTTTGGAAGAGCCTCAGACTAGTGATGACAGGGGGCAGCTTAGGAGAATTTATGAAATTTATGTAAGCCCTGGAGTGTGGGAGAGTCTCCAAGTAAAGGCAAAGTAGGGGAAAGAGAATCTAGCCAAGGGGTCTGAAGAATGTATGAGATGGAAAGATCTAAGACTTCTGGTCCCATCCCTGTCAAAGTGCTATTAATAGAAGACTTAAGCAGAAATTAAGCATTTGAAATACCAGCTCCATGATGCTCTGAGAATAAACCTTGTGGATTCCCGGATGGCCTTTCAACAAAGACTTAAAACACCCATTATTGACTCCATCCCTACCTACTGTGATGTGCAGATATTAGTTTCACCCCCTCTACCTGGTGGAAGGCAGGGGCTCCTGGAAGGCAGGGGCCAACTAGATCAATCTCTCCATCCCCAGAGGGCCTCTCATGAGAGTGCTGGGCAAGGAACAGCTGCTCAGCAAAGACCGATGAACTGGGAGTGGTTACATCCTTCACATCTTTTCTCTGAGAAGGGCAAAGTCAGGACTAATTTCTCTCACTTTGGCAAATGACTTCTTGGTTCTGGGGACTCAAGGGACAGTAATATGAAGAGGAACCTGCTCTGTCCCAAGCTACAGAAGAGCTCTCCCACTTGGGCTTAACTCCCTCATCTGTAAAATGGGTGTCATAGTCCCTGACTCTTTTAGATTAAGGGGCCTCTGTGGGAGGGGGAAATACGGAGGGAGATAATAGGATAATGTACGTGGAGACACTTTAAATAGCATGAAGTGCTCTTCAATGGTAAGAGGTTGCAATTAGTCAAGCACAGGAGGACCGGGTTCGTATACAGTTGCTATGCACTTGGAGAGTGGCACAGAGCGTGGGCTCATCAGCTTAGCTCTGAGCTCTCTCATTTGGGGGCTGTGTGATTTGGGGGCAGTCTATTCAATCTTTCCGAGCCTCAAGTCCTCATCTGTACACTGGAGATAATCGTACCTAGTATAGAGAGTCACCATCAGGATTAAATGAAACATATGTAAAGTCTTCAGTATGGTGTCAGGATTTAAAAGATGTTAGTTCCTGTCCCATCTCCTCTCTAAAATTGATACAGGTCTCTCTCTCTCTTTTTTTTTTTTTTTCATCTTAAAGTGAGAAGAAAATAGAAGTATATATTTACTGGGCATCTTTTGAAGACTGAGGGAGAACAGCTCAGATTGGACCAGCAAGGCCAATAGTTATAGCTAGCATATACTGAGTAATTTCCTAGTGTTTTACCTGCATTGTCATTTAATCTGCAGACACCCTAGAAATAGAATTAAATACGCAAATTCATTTCACAGGTGAGACAACTGAGGCAGAGAGAAATAAAAAATTTGGCCAGAGTCACACAGCTCTTAAATGACTACAATGAGATTGAAATTCAGGTGTTCTGGATCAAGAGTATAAGCTCTTTGCCACTGTGGTATGCTGCGGAGGGTCTTGAAGCAGTTGGGAGAGGAGGAGCAGGAAATCCATTCTTAGAGAAGTTAGTTCAGTTTCTCTCCTATCTGTCTTTCATAGGAAAGATAGTTCCTAAGAAGAGACACCTGAATGCAGACTTAGGTGCCAACAGAGAAATTTCTTCCTGGAAAATAATAATAGCCGCTATTTATTTAGCACCTACCATGCTTAGGGTATGGTAAGTCTATTTCCTGTAACCAAATACATAGTCTCCAAAGCTTCTTTCTGCTTCATTATGCTGTGTCAGTGCCAGGGAATTTGGGATCCTGGTCCCAGTCCACCCAGAGAGAGGGAAAGATATAGATGAGGGAGGTCTCTGCTGAACACGTGCATGGATAATACTATTTTAAAAAAAAAAAAAAGTTGGGTATTTTGTTTTCTAGGTAATGTCCAAATATCCCATGACCAAATCAAAATGGTTGTTCCAAAAAGTTGTTGTCATACTTGCGGGTTACCTTATCCCACCCACACTGACTCACAGAGTCTTAATTTCCTCAACTATGAAATGAGATCATGATACCTTCCCTGACTATGTCTCACGTTTGTTTCAGGTAGGAATGAGATGAAGCTGTGAAAGCCCATAGCAAGTGGATTTACTATGTGGTAGCTGCTGCTGTTATACTGTTTATAAACTACTGCCAGGCAGACCTGGAGGTGCTGAGGGACAGTAGACGCTCTCCTGACTCCTGGTTCATTGCTCTTTCTGTTCCATCACCACATCCAGGCCAGGGAGAAGGATGGATGGAGAGTTCCAGAGCTGCCTTCTACCCTAATCCATGAATCAGTACATCTCCAGATGTTAAGGAAACTATAATTCCCTTAGTGAAGGGAGAATAATGGTGAAGGCTGTGTCCAAAACAGTGTCAGCAGCTTGGTGGCCCCAGGCCTGGGAATTGTTCAAAGGGAATTGAGGATGGTGGGAGCCGTAGCTTGCATAGTTGTCGTGCTGGTTCCCGAGGGTGCTGTGATGGCTTGCAGGTACTATCAGGAGGGGTAAGGGGAAAGCACAGAGGGAGGGGAAGGCTGTGTCTGAGGCCTCCCGGCTGCAGAGCCACTAGGAACATCAGGACTCTGAAATGCTGCCTGTGCCTGGGATGGGGCTCTGCCCATCTTACTCACTTACCCTCGGAGGACCTAATTTTTCCCGCCTGAGCAAGAGCAAGATGCGATGGTGAGACACATTATGTCTCGATGCAGCGGGAATCTGCTGGGGCAAAGCTGGGTTGAAATTGGAAAGGATCTCAGAGCCTCCTCGAACCCCAGAAGAGGGACTGCATGCCCTTCCTGGAAAGCTGGAGGAGGAGAGCGTCAAAGACTAGAAGAGTCGCTGCTGTGCACCAAGCACCTTATGTGTAATATCTTATCTAGGTCTGTCTGATACTCAGTTAAGTCCTTGAGTAATTGAACTAAATTGAAAAACACCAAACAATTATTTGGCTCTACAGTTTTCAAAGCAATTTCACACATATTTTCTCATTAGAGCCTCACATCAACTCTAAGTGATAGGTATTATTTTTATCCACATTTTACAGGTTAAGACACTGAGGCTCAAAGAGTGATCAGGTGACTTGCCTAAGGTCACACAGTTAATGGAGAGTTAGTAGAGAATTCAGGGGCCAAACTTAGAGGATAACTTCACATGCTGACCACAGACATTCCTTATTCCTATTTGCTGATATTTCACAGAAACTGGGGGCTTCCATACAGGCCTGTCCTTACTCATCTCTATGTACCTCTACTTACCAACCACACGCTCAGTCCCACAGGCTGCAGCCCTTGTCCTCCTCACTCCGCTCTGGGAAGCTGGGAGTTGTGAATGTAGGGAATTGCCTGAGCAACCATCCCCGTCCCTTCCCAGATGGCATCCCATCCACGGATCCCAGAGCGGCCACACTTACTTTTAGCTACTTCCTTCTCTCCCGTTGACTCAGTTTCGAGGGTACAGCCTGCTGGCCAGTTCACAACCCCTGACTTCCTAGAAGCTGCCAGCAGGACACTGGATGCTGCCGCCAAAACTGAAACTATGTGCAGTGCTTGACCCACACCTGGGTTCTTAAAGAGACACTCTCCCACAGGCATGGCGGCTGGCCAGGGCACGTGACGCTCACAGATTCCTTGCTTTCCTTCCCTTTTGGCTTTCCTGGCTGTCTCCATTTTCTTCCTCTTAGGGGGACTGCTATGTGGGACTCCTCCATCATTGTAGCTGTTCGAGACAAGACATCTAAGCACGAAGAGCCTTTTCCGCTGCTTTCTACCTGCAAGACCCTAAGCAAGTTACCTCCGTATGTCTTTTCGTCTGAAAAACAGGGATAGTAACACCAAGTCTATAGGGATATAACTGGATGTTAAATGTGAAACACCTGGCCCCGGGCATGGTATGAAATTGATATGCATTGGGTGGGCACAGGTGGCAGGAATGGCTCTCAGTCCTTGAATGCATGTCCCCATCCACGCGGGAACACAGTCCCCTACTCCCTAGATTACTTAGCCTGGATGGGTCAATTCTTTATACATCTTCTGCAGAGCTCCTTTACAAGCTCCAGGGCCTCTGGGAACTTGGGGGACCACAGCTCCTTCCTTTTCCCTCCCTAGAGGAATCGAAGACTCTGGCCGCTTCTGGGATCCCCTGAAAATGGCGAACCTTCAAGGTTTGTCAGGACCTGGGCTTGTGCCATAGCAAAAAGAGCACTGATCTGCTGAAATGGGGTGAAAACCTCCTTCCCTGCTTCAGTTAGTCCCTGGCGGTCTTCTGGTCACGACGGATTAGAATTCCCAGGCATTCCTCAAATGATTTTGGCAGTCCCGTGTCACATAGTGAAGCCCACTCCCCAACACACACACATTTGACCCCTCCACCCCACACAGAATCCTGCCCTGTCCTACCTGCACAGGCCTGCCCAGGCTCTCCCTCCAGTGTCCTACAGGCCAAACCCCAGAAGGGGAAGGAGGAAAGGAGAAATAGAGACCCGGAAAGCACAAGGCAGTCAGAGCCCTGGGTCTTATTTTAGCTCAAATTCACTCACTCATAGGTATCTACCTGCAATCACAGATTTAGATGGCAAGTATTTTCTATTATGGAGCTTAATTTCAGACCCTCAACCCACCATGACTAATGTAAAAAAAAAAAAAAAAAATGACCTAGTCATTTCCAGGCAAACTCAGTCCAATTCAATGATATCTCAGTCACTTCACTCCCAATTTAAAACTCCGTCTCATTTTGGATTTTTTTTCCTTTTTGTCTCCCTTCTCTCTGGGGTTTATGTGAAGTCTAGTGTAAATGGGCATGGGTGAGGGGTGAGCAGCTTATGCTGAAACTCCCGTTGGGGTGGCGAGAAGGAGTGCCCATTATTTTTGTCTTGCTTTGTCGTGGTTCTATGTTGATCTTGTGCTCCACAAGGAAATAGTCCTATCTACTGAGATGTAACTTGTCCTGCTGGTCGGTGGTCTTTATCCTGATCATTCTAAGAGGTCTGTGGGCCACTCTATGCCTCCTTGTCCCTTCTTCGGGGATCCTTGGAGTAGGACTTCCAGGCTCTCTTCCTTGCCCTCTGTGGGTGCAGGGTGAGTTTGGCTCATCTGCATCTTTCTGAGGCCTCTGGGGGATCCTGAGCAGCAGGGCATCATTCCCCACAACACCCCTGTGGCCTTCTGTGCTCCCATGTACCTGGGGCTGTAATGGATATTGGCAAGACTGCTGACCACCAAAGTTGTATACAGAACAAGCAAGGTGCAGACCCACTTTGCTCTGGCATCTCTAAACTCTTCCGGATATCTCCATCATTGTCAGTCTCCTCTTCCCGACTATAACCCTGGACTAAGCCCCATGGTGGTGGATGGGAGGGCACAAAGACACATCAATAGCTAGGTCATCTTTCTTTCCCCTCTCCAGTTCCGAGGGTGATATTGAGTAGGAGGCTGGGTGGAGATGCTGGCGGGACAATAATGGGACAAGCCTAGTTCTGCTAGATTTTAGCTCCTTTCAAAGGTTTTCCTCCTTAGACGTCTCTCCTTTTGAACTCAGTCAAGATGTTTGTGGGTTTCATTTTCTCATTTTTCATGAACTCACTATGCCCAAAGCAGGAGATAACTTGTGTCTAGTCATCTGGGCTGGAGTAGGGGTTAAGGGAAGCCCACTGAATACCAGGACGGAAACTAGATGACAGTAGGGAAGGAAGGAAAGAAAGGGGAGGGAGAGAAGCACGTCTATGAAGTTGTTGCTCCTTGTGGTGTCTTAGGGGCCCAAGATCTCCTTCCCCACTCCCTTATTCTATGATGGTTGAAAGTTTCCTAGGTAATGTCCTGGTGTGTGTTCCCAGGAGTCCCCAAAACTATCTTAGCAGACCATGTCTCTCTCTCTCACACACACACACACACACACACACACACACACACACACACACACACACACACACACACACACACACACCTGAAGCCCAGCTGGCCTATGAAGCAGCTTGGGGAAAGGGGAAAATGAGAAGTAGAGCTCAGGTAAGAGCCAGGAAGTCAAAACCCTGCATTCTATTTTGGGCTTAGCCACACACTAGTGGTATGATTGGAGTCCTCCAGCTTCCCCTCCCTCACTGGGGTTGCTTCATCTGGAACTCAGTGGCTCTAAAACACAGTCCCTGCCTTACAGTCCTGGGGGAGGAAGGACTGGCCAAGAAGGTCTAACAGCCCACCTCAGTAGTTATATGATAACAGAAGTCATTCTACATTTGAAAACTAACATCGATTTATCTGTTTAAATGCCCCTTTCTCTTTTTAAAATAATAATATGAGAAGCATGTAATAATAATAAGAGATCAGCTTCTCATTTGACTTTCATGACTCTAGGACTTGCCATGAGTCAGTGTGGGGACATGGAGAGCACTGATCTGGGGTCAAAACTCCTGTCTCCTGGTTCTAGCTCTGCCTCTAATTTGCTAGGTGACTTTTGCCGAATTTCTTCCTCCTTTATGTAGTTGTTTTCATCTGTTAAATGGGAGAGCTGGGCCAAATGGCTTCTAAGGCTTTTCAGTTTTCTGTATTTTGACTGAGCACGGCATTAGTTTCCTGTGGCTGCTATAACAAATTACCATAACCTTGGCATAACACAGCAGAGATGGATTCTCTCTCAGTTATGAAGGCCGAAAGTCCGAACTCAAGGTATGGACAAGGCCGTGCTCCCTCCGGAGGCTCTAGGGGAGAATCGGTTCACGCCTCTCCTAGCTTCTGCTTGCTGCTGGCCTTCCTTGGCATTTTTCAGCTTGGGGCTCTATCTCTCCAATCTTTGCCCTTCAATCTCATATTGCCTTCTGTGTGTGTCTGAAATGTTTTTCTGCCTCTCTTTTATAAGGGCACTTGTGACGGTATTTAGGGTCCACCTGGATAATCCAGGATGATCTCCTCATCTCAAGATCCTGAACTGCATCACATTTACAAAGACCCTTTCCCCAAATAAGGTCACATTTACAGATTCCAGGTGCCCATGACCAGTTAAAGGTCCAGGGAGATTTGAGACATGCATTAGTGTTCATCCCTGTGCCCCAAGGGCATGTGGTCTAACTGAGAAGTCATCACCCTACCACAACCACCACTGCCAAGGGGAATACCAGCCTGGCAGCAGCCAACGTGGGAAAGCAGTGCAGCCTTGCGGAGAGGTCACAGGCTCCAGACCCAAAACATCCTGGTTCATATTCAAGCCCTGCCATCTGCCAGCTAGGAACTCTTGACAAGTTATTTAATGTCTCTGGACCTCAGTTTTCTTATTTGCAAAATGGGGCTAATTATACTTACCCCATAAGCATGTTATAAAGATTAAGTACAATAAGTGCAGGGGCTGGCATCTGATAAGTGCTCCAACGAATGGGACAGCATAGGCTTTCAGAACAGAAAGTTACTCCCCATGGATAAATGAGGAGCAAAATCAGGAAGTGGAATGCCTTGTCCAAGTTGGCGGTGAGGTAATGGCATAGATGGGTCAAGAACCAAAGTCTCCCAGCATTGGCATTTTCCTCCACTTCCCAAAGCCTTTACTCTCTGGGTGAATCTTTTGAATTGTGTTTCCATAAGCAGCAAAAGGCTCCCATTTGCACATTCAATTGACCCTGGGAAGATTGGAGAGGACCAAGCACAGAGACCTACACAGGTCCAATCCACCAGGTTGGCATCATTAGCTTGATACTTCAAGACTTGGTTGACTAATAGAAGGGGAGACCTAAGCCATACAGTCCTTCCCCAGATCTCCACTGCCCTTCCAGCATCTCTCACTGCAGATGGTTCCTATGAATGTGGCGGCATTCGAGTGAGGTAAAGGTGGACAGATGAAATGCCTATCACTGCTATTTACTGACAGCTTTCTGCTCCCACATGCAGATCTTTGGCTGAGTCAATATTTAACCCCTGTCTAAAGTCAATGTTTAATCTCGGGCTAGTCAGCCCTGAAATCTGGTATTTCTAAGTAAGCCAATAATATAGAGTCATTTTAGTATTAATCACTGGAAAATAGAATTGTGACCGTAAATCTACCAAAGATAAATAGCAAGCCCCTGCCCCGCCTTTTAGTGATACTGACTGTTTGGGATTATCCATGCCCAAGTAACTCTACCCTCACCACCAGCAGATAATGACCTAGTATTTCCTGACCCTACATCTCACCCATTGATAAGATTACAGTGTCTACTCTTCCTGGTCTAATGTCAACTTTTGGGCTTGGGGAGAGGGTATGGAATGGGGACTACTGCCTTTGTTGCACAGCTGAGTGCTAATGTGGTCCCTAGTGTGGTCACTGTTTTGAATCCCACTAAGAGAATGGGGACTAGAATCATCCAGTTGGCTGGGCTCGGGCAAGCTTTTGGGGAGTGTCTGAGCCCAGACTTATGTTTGGAGTT